CCAAGGTGGTAGCAGTAGTAGTAGTAGTAGTAGTAGTAGTAGTAGTAGTAGGTAGAGGTAGTAGTAGTAGTAGTAGTAGTAGTCGTAGTAGTCGTAGTAGTCGTAGTAGTCGTAGTAGTAGTAGTAGAGTAGGTAGGTAGTGGAAGTGGTGGTGGCAATCGTTGTCGTCGGTGTTCGTCGTCGATACGTTGGTAGCTGCAGTTGAAATTGTTGGAACGGTGAAGCCAGAATAGTTGGTCTCAGTACAGGCACGAGTATGAGCGTTTAGCAGTTTAGCATTCGGACAGTCATCCTGTGGAAAGTAGGATGCAGACGTGCTGCCACTCAGCGCTCGGCGATTGGAGGTTGCGGAGTTGTGGAGACCATGCTTCTTCACCCAGATCGGTGTGCAGTGAATGCATGGCGCAGGCGGATCCAAAAGCCTACCATCAAGCCGGGGCCTCAAGCGGCAATGCCAAGTTGCCAAGAAGAGGTCGGTGGTCACGGCGCCGGCAGTCACCAAGGCCGCCATAAGCGCAGAAGGATCGTTGCCTGCGCGGGCGGTCTCCAGGCGCCTGCACCGTCAAGCCGTGTCGGATCTGGAGCTGCGGCAGCGCCCAGCGGAGGCTTTGGTCGGTCGACGCGGCATTGGAGACGGATGCGCTCTGGCCTCTCTGCCCAGAGCGTGGGAAGCCCAGAATTTCTCGTCACATGACCAGCACCCTTTGGTTCAGTTCGCATTCCCGCAGTGTGCAACTTCTCAGCGCAACACGGAGCCTCGTGCACGGAACTGTTTGCAGTTTGTGCACCCTGTTCGTGGGTGTCAAACCGCCATGAACCGCCATCGCTAAAAAGCGGGCGGTTGTAAGGAATGGGATCAACGGCAATCGTCTAATGAAGGGTCGAGTTTCAGATATGGGATCAACAACCATCTCTCAGACGAGGTTGGGATTACCTGCAGGTATTTGGAACCTCTGGGGACTGCCATGCGGGAGCCAAAACAACCACCGAGCAAGGGGTCGGGAATTGGGATGTAAAATTGTTACTGTTGTCATGGTCATGACTGCTAGCCAATATGCGCATCATACTACGGTTGCCATTTTGGCTGTACGTGGCGCACCGGCCAAGCCCAGCAACGGGAGTGAAAAAGTGACAAAAGCCTGACAAATTCAAAGGGTGGGGGAGCGGGCAATCACTCAGACCCAAAAGGACACGCATCCCAAATGGCCGCGATGTGCAAGTATTCAACCCACAAGACTGAGGCGGCAAGCTGCGCAAAAGTCGTGAACCCCAACATGGTGGGGCTCGCAACTATTTTAGCCTGAAACGGGTGGAGCTGGCACCCGCGAGGACCTAACCCTAAAATAGGAGACCTTGAAGGATGGACAGTTGCAAACCCCAAGCTCGACGAGGCGTGACGAGTGGCAAAGCACACACGCTGTACTCCTTTTTCCGTTTTCTTAGTATGGACTGTCCGTGACGGTGGACTCCTTGGCAGCACGATATTAGTGCGGAATTGTATTTTTTAGGTATTGTTGTGCACTGCACGAAGCGCAAATAATAACAACATGTAACAACCGAGATTTTGGCGGAGGCTGGGGTTCTCATGAGATCCTGATCCGGACAAGATCCGTTTTCTCGAGCCATGGCATCAGATCTGCCTACGGATGCGCAGTTGGCCGGCATAACCAATGTGGCGGGAACCCTTGCTTGGACGGGGCTTGAGGCTGCCATTTGGGGCCGGGTCGACCCGGCACTTGGCGGAGTTCCCAGTCTTCGGATCTTAGGGAATACTCCTGCCGATGCCCTCCGTACGGCGGTTCTGGTCGCGTCGACGTCCCCCGCGTCGGAAAAGTCACAATCTCATACATGTTTCTTTCTTAGCAGAATGCAGTGTGCCTCATAATTGTCCGTTCTCTTCATGCGCACCGCGTGGCGCTCCTTTCCGTGCGCTTGTGGAAATCACGAAACAGATGTAAAGCAGTTCATAAAATTGGCAACCATAGACATCATTGAAAGGATCATAAACTGCCCAGGTAAAACAACTTCCCACGTGGTGTTGCATACGTCACAACAGTAGCCCTTCGAGTCTGCAGATGTGTACAGTCCAGGTCTCCAGCTTGCCCAGCGGCTGCAGTGCCAGAAAGGCTTGCGCCGACGGAGCGATCGCTATATGCGTGAGGCTGCTTGGGGGGAAGACGTCACGGTTTGTTATTTTGGACACAGCACCGTTGCCCGTAAAATGATCAGCTTGTTTTGCAGGTTTTAACACCACTCATCGACCAATCGGTTCTCTCGGCCGCGTGGACAGTGCGGAGCACAGCATGCTCAGGGCTTTTGGCAGGTAGCGTGAAATCAAAGATGAGCCTCCAAGCCTGAGCCGCGATTTGTGCTTTCTGCTTCGGCCCAAATGTCGATAGCATGATTTCGCTGGTCTGCGCAAGAGATCGCACCACAGTCAACAGGCGGAAGCAAATCCCCGAGGGGCCAGAGCTGAAACCAGATAAAGAATCAGCCGTCAGTGTTTGGCTTTGCAGATGGCCGAACCTTTGCCGCAGCTGCAGCACGAGAAGATCACATGCTCTGGCTCGCAAGCACTCTGCGCCTTGAGCAACTATGTCATAAGCTTGTCCCTCGGAGGCTGTCCAATCTACGAGGGACTAAACAGCTCTGCTTTGCTCCTACAGCGGCAGCGCCGGTTAAGAAACTGTTATTTGTTCGTAGGGGGGCTCGATTTCTTATGTTCGAAGCGCACCTTTTTTTAGTAAAAAATGCATTTCGGGATTTGATCATACCCTGGATTTCTTAACCCAAGTTTCTTAGTTTGAAAAGGCTCCAAACTGAACCGCAAGAAATCAGAAGACTGAGAGGCTGCCCGAGCCCGCAGCAGCTTCCCCTCTAGCTCACGCGCTTATCCACTCGGGCATGGCATCCTTTGGGCTTGTTCAAGCCATGTCGGTATGTATACAGCTCGTATTCAGACCTTACCAGAACCACTTGCCACTCAACATAAGAAATTGAGCCCTTCAATTTAAGAGATCGAGCCCCTCAATTTCTTATGTTCGTGGTTTTTTCGTATATGACAAAGCCCTGAAAAAACCCCTGCTAGGCCCTTAAAGAGCTTCTGGAGCCCTGCTGGGGCTTAATAAAGCCCGTATTACGCCCTTAAAAGGCCAGCCCAGACCCCAAAAATAAGAAATTGAGCCACTCAATTTCTTATTTTGGTGGTTTTGTTGTATATGACAAAGCCTTCTTAAGCCCTTACAAAGCCTCTGGAGCCCTCCAAAGCTTAATAAAGGCTTCTTTTGCGCATTTTTCTTTGTTTTTTTGTCGCACGGCTGTCCGAGGGGCTCAATTTCTGAAACCAGTGATTTGTTAAGCGGTGCTGTGGAGGCAGCACCTTCTGGCAGCCGCTTCTGCTAAAGACCACTCATACCTACCCGCACGGAAGGCCTCACAGGCGTCAAGGCAGCTATTCCGATGCTGCTGGTGGCCATCGGCGATTCGCCAGCACAGAGGCAAGGGGATGATGAAGGGCTGTGAAGGATGATTCTTCTGAATCTTCCCGAGCTGAGACTTGTCGGGACGGGAAGTTACATTCTGAGGCTCAAAGCTGAGCGACCGATTTCCACTGCACTTGGAAGATACCTGGCTGGACAGCTGGATTTGTATCGTGGTGCTTGGCCTTCTGCTGATTCTGGAGCTGGTGTCTGACTGCATTCCAGCATTGGCTTCCTGCCAAGACTGCGCCATGCTGGTAGCAAAACCGGTGCTTAGCTTCACTATGGCTTTGGCACCCAGTTATGGGACTCGTGGCGCAGTAGAGTAACGCAACATGTCGCTACTCAGGAGCTGGACCGAGGTCTTTCAGGGTTTGGAAACGTTTCGGCAGTTTGAACCGGCCTGCATGCAAAAAGGAAGCGCTCTGGCGCTAAATACATTAGCACCATGGCGGGCCACCATGATCCGGTTGAAGCTTCCCAGTAGTTCAGGAGGGAGTGTCTCTTGTGTTGGGCACTCGTGGTGGAATAGAGCTTCGTGTGCTGTTAGTAGACCCGAGCTGCAGCCCAGCATTCGTACCATCTCCGTGCAGTGTACCTGTGTTCTGCCCGCCCCGCCAATGCCGTGTTTATGCTGCTTCCAGTGTAATGACCAGCCGTCGTGGTAGCAGACGTTGTTACCCAAGACAGACTACTAGCATGACCACGACGAAAACTCCCGCGACTGCGACGAGTGGTAGCAGCAGTAGTAGTGGTGTAGTGGTAGTAGCAGCAGCAGTAGCAGCAGTAGTAGTAGGAGTAGTAAGTAAGAGTTGCGGGAGTTGTAGGAGTACGTAGTAGGAGTAGGAGCAGCAGCAGTAGCACCAGCAGCAGTAGCAGTAGCAGTATAGCAGCAGTAGTAGTAGAAGTAGCAGCAGAAGCAGTAGAAGGTGTAGAAGTCGTCGTCGTAGTCGTGTAGTCGTAGTAGTAGTCGTCGTAGTAGTAGTAGTCGTCGTCGTCGTCGTCGTCGTAGTAGTAGTAGTAAGAGTAGCAAGAGCAGTAAGAGTAGTAAGAGTAGCAAGAGTAGTAAGTAGTAGTAAGTAGTAGTAAGTAGTAGTAAGTAGTAGTAAGTAGTAGTAAGTAGTAGTAAGTAGTAGTAAGGAGTAGTAAGTAGTAGCAAGGAGTAGTAAGGAGTAGTAAGTAGTAGTAAGTCGTAGTAAGTAGTACTGAGTAGGAGTAAGTAGTCGTGAGTAGTAGTAAGTAGTAGGAAGTAGTCGTGAGTAGTAGTAAGTAGTAGGAAGTAGCAGTAAGTCGTAGTAAGTAGTAGTAAGTAGTAGTAAGTAGTAGTAAGTAGTAGTAAGTAGTAGTAAGTTGTACTACTAGTACTACTAGTACTACTGGTACTACTAGTACTACTAGTACTACTAGTACTAGTACTAATGTCAG